AAATAATGTTAGGACTAGGGGTGTTTTGGGCCTCCCTGGTGACCTTGGGGTTAAGTCTCCGCGCTATCACTGCTTTGGCCTGAGTTCCATCCCCGGTGAGGGAGCTGACCCACATGGCACAGCAGACCTCTCCTGTCTCACTCGCTGCTCCCCTCAGCAGTGGATTTTAGTCAGTCTGTCTGTTCTGTTCCCCACTCTGTCTCCAGTGAATCCTCTCACCCCCTGTACCTCTGGCCTGCACCCCAGTTCTTCTATGCAAAAAAAAAGCCTAGGGGTGTTTTGGTGGTGGGTATGGTGTGGTAATAACACCCAAATGGGATGACCCTATACCTCTAAATCATATATGATGTAGTAAACAAGTGTTACCTCAACAACAACAAAAAAATGTTTAAAAAATCACTCAAGGAAACTAGGTTCAGAAAGAAGCATTGTGTTAAGGAGGGAAGAGGTTCAGTGGGTAAAGCGCAAAGGGATGTTGTGAATGGAGCAGGAAGCTGTAAAAGACTGGATCCATTGTAGGGATGGAAGGTTCAAGAAGAATGGGATGAGAGAGAAAGTGAAAGAGACTGTATAAGGAACCTGGGCTTTGAAGTCAAAGTTCCAGTGCTTGGACCTCACCCTGTAGACACTAGGAACAGTTATGATTCACAAAGGGAGGAGGAACAGCCATACAATGATTTCAGGAAGAATCTGCTCCTGGAGATAGGAGGGTCAGATCAGAGGGTAGCACGGAGGAAGGTGCTGTCGAGCAGAGAGGAATTTAGTGAGGGAATGTTGAGAGGACTTGGGGGCTGATTAGATTGGACCCTGCGCTGAGTGACATCTGGTGTCCACATCTTGAGTGATGAGAATGAGTGTTAAAATCTGTCACTGATACAGGAACGCTGATAAGTGAAGTCGGGTGATGTGTCGAGTATGAGCCTGTAGAGTTTGAGGTAACGGCTTGGAGAAGTCCAGCTGCAACTGGAGTCTGAGAAGAATTTGTGGAAACTCTTCTGAGCAGAGGAAAACTGAGAGATCATCTTTCCCTTCAGCATTTTCATTTCACCGATAAAGGAGACACCTGCCATGTTAAGGGCGTGATCACATTAAGCAGTGTTTATGAGGAGATCTGTAAGATGAAAACAGTTCAGAGAAAAGATCTGGAAGAAGCCCATGTTGGAGAAAGCTTGATTCCTTAGAGAAAGGATTTCTCCTTGTTGGAGAAAGCTTGAATCCTACAGGCTTGAATCCTTAGAGAGAGAGGAATTTGCAGGGGGTGTGAAGGGTAGAGTGGAGTGTAAGGGCAGGAAGAAGAGGGTACTGGCAGAGAAGGCCAAGCTCTCTCAGGAGGATGTGGTAAGCGCGAGTTAGGGGGATGGGTAAACAGTGTGCCCTCTGTGGCAGGAGTTGAAGAAAATTCAGACTGAGAAAAGGCCCCTCGCCTTGATAAGAAGGTGGCAGCAGAGAGGATCCTGGGAGCACAGCAGAACCCACCAGGCCTGCTGTGAGTGCGGCCTGTGACCTCTCTATAGGAACCATGGGGTGGGGTCACTTTATCTCCTTTTACAGATGAGGAAACTAGCATGAGAGAAGTTAGCCTGCATGCTTACGGCCGCCCAGCTCCTAAGCACTGGCGCCAGAATTGTTAGTACGGAAGAGGCTAGTAGTTCAGAGGCTGTTGGCGCCAAAAAGGTTGGGGGGTAGTTCTAGGTTCTAGATAAGGTTGCTTTCCGGATACACAGCTGCGGCGACTGACACATGTCAGGGCAGCCAGCAGAGAGGAAGTGGCCTTGAGGCCCATGTAGAGCCCAGCACAACAACGGTCAACCACGAGGTATGAGCAGAGAGAAAAATAACAACACCCTTTCTTCTGAGATGGTATATTGACTCCCAGCCTTCTCAGTACCAGCCCATTCATGCTATTCCCCACTTCCCAAAGATCCCAGATTAACAAAATGGATATCCACTTTAAGCTTTTAATTCCGGTATAATTCAGATAGAATGTGGTGTCCAGCTCTTAGGTATCCTGGTCAGTGACTTTTGATGATCAACTTGAATGTATCAGTTCATTTTTCATTTTGGTTGCTCTAGTGTATATAAAAGTGCCAGTCAGGATATAAGATTACCATATCAAGTTAATGCAATTTAGCCAAAAACAAGGATTCCTGATGTTTCAGTTAACTGCTTAGATTGAAACCTTTTGAGATGTAGAAAATCAGTTTGTACTGATTGGGGTAGGCAGGTTTGGACAGTGGTGGCATGGGATGGCGGGAAGCATGGGATCACCCTGGCCTTGGTCGAATACACTCAAAACCATGACCTCCGGCTGTCATTGATTCTCAGGAGCTGGGCCGGGAGAGATAGGGTCTTACTAGTTCTTCAGATTAGAAAACCAATAATGATTCACCACAAATTTTAAAATTAAATATATGTAGCTAGATATATATTGATATTAAAAAATCATTGTATGTTTTAAAGTTTAATCGTGCTATGGTAGCACGATTAAAGTGTATAAGTCTTACACTTTGGAGATATATGCTGAGATATTTACAGATGATAGGATGTCTGGGTCTGTTTTGAAATAACTCTGGTCATGGTTTTGGTAAAATGAATAAGACTGTCCTGAATTGATCACTGTTAACCTTTGTAGATGAGGAACCATTATATCATTCTGTCCTTTCTTACATATATTTAAAACTTACCATAATTATTTTTTTTTGCATAGAAGAACTGGGGTGTAGGCCAGAGGTAAGGGAGGGGAGAGGACTCACCAGAAACAGAGTGGGGAACAGAACAGGCAGATTGACTGAAATCCACTGCTGAGGGGAGCAGCAGGCGAGACGGGAGAGGTCTGCTGTGCCATGTGGGTCAGCTCCCTGGCTGGGGATCTAACTCAACCCACAGTGGTTACAGTGCTGAAACTTAACCCCTAAGCCACCAGGGAAGCCCCCATAATAAAAAATTTAAAGGGTGGAAAAATAAAATCAAAACTTCAGTCAAGGTTTACTTGAATGTAATGAAGATCTTTCTGTGTCTAGTAAGTGAAAGGGATTTAATACAGGGAATTAAGTTCCTATAAAATTGTTAGAAGAGACACAGTAGGTTCTAGGCTGGGCTTCTAGGATTAGTTCCAAAACACCACCACGCATCCGGCTACTTATGCCTCCAGTAGGAAGTTGCAAAGCCCAGAAACCAGGAAGCCACTGTTTCAGCTGCCCCAATAACGCATCACTCAAGCCAAATCTGATGACCAGGAATCTGTAGTTGGCTCATAAACATTCGCTCCAGTGCTATCTGCTACATCTGCTGGAATTGTACCAGCAAAATGCTGGCCTTGCTGCTACCCCCCCTCCCTTCGCCATTCTCTGATTTGTGGAATCTAAATCTAGAACCTGAACTATGAAAGAATGAGAAAGAATGGGAAGTATAGTTTTCAACTTTCTGTGATCTATGGAAATAAACTTGAAAAAGGTGGGAAAATTTTTGAGCAGAGCAGAGCAGTTCTCTACTAAGGGTATCAGCAATTGAAATTGTAATTTTTGTTTATTGATCTCAAAAAGTAATTTTGGACCATGTTTAATTTACAACCTATTTTTTTAAAGATTTATTTATTTATGCATACAAGAATGGGGGTACAGACCAGAGGTGCGGGGGTGAGAGGAGTCACTAGAGACAGAGTGAAGAACAGAACAGGCAGACTGACTGAAATACACTTCTGAGGGGAGCAGCAGGCCAGTCAGAAGAGGTCTGCTGTGCCATGTGGGTAGCTCCCTGGCTGAGGATAGAACTCGTGCTGCAGTGGCTGCAGACACTTTCATAGGTTGCATCGTAACCCCTTGCGCCACCAGGGAGGCCCACCCTACAACCTATTCTTTGCTTTTGTTTTCCCTCTACAATCTTTTCATCAGCTTTGCCTGATGAACCTACAAAACTTCTATTACTCAAGACCGTAGTCCCTACTCTAGGTGCGTTCATCTGAAGCATCATAAAAGGCTGTATGTGCATTTGGCCTCTGTGTCTTTACGTGTTTTTCCTAGTACAAGTCATGCTTTTCCCACCTGTAGTCTAGATCCTTCCTGTTTTTAGACAGACTTCAAGTCCTATCTCTGCAAAACTTATCTGATTTCTCTAGGTCCCATCTTCCTTCCTCCCTGCATATGGTGTGTGTGTGTGTGTGTGTGTGTGTGTGTGTGTGTGTCTGAAATCTTCCGGACTTATTTTTTGTTTTCCCATGTAGTTTGATCTATCATGTAAATATTTTAAGGTACGCTTTCATTTTATATGCATGGTCTCACTTGCTTCAGTCCACTCTAAGTAACATAAGGCCTGACAAGTTTCTTTTTTTAAAAAAAACAAAAGATTTATTTATTTATTTATACAATCACTGGGTACAGTCAGAAGCGCGGGAGGGTGAGAGAATTCACCAGAGCCAGAGGGGAGAGCAGAGCAGGCAGACTGACGAAATACACTGCTGAGGGGAGCAGCGGGCAGCAGGAGAGGTCTGCGCGCCATGTGGGACCCTCGCCCGGTGGCCGGGGCTCGAACTGGCGCTGCAGAGGCTGCGGGCAGCTTCGCAACCCAGCACTCAACTGCTGCGCCACTGGGGAGGCCCTAGACAAGTTTATTTATTCTGTCCTTTGATATATAACACCATGCAGAGTATTGAATAAGTTTATGTGTTTGATTAGTACTATTACTAAAATGTACCAATCTGTACCATACCCAGATGATAATGCGCTTAGGAGTACCTCCCATGGAAAGGATCAGAAATGTTCTGTGCTGAATAAACTATAATTTGTAACCAATTAGGTACATTGAGAGATAGTATTGTGGTTGGGTTAACATCAAGATCTTCCCATGATGACCCCAGTTCACCTTTTAATTACTTGCATAGTCTGATTATCAGGAGACCTTTTCTTGTTAAGTGGACATGTTTCTTTTAAAATCTCTGTGGTGTGATTTCCATTTTGTAAATCTACATGTATTTTTCAGTCGTGCTCATTATTTTCATTTAACAGATATTTATCATATTTATTGAGTACCCATCGCGTGCCAGGCACCAATTGTTTGTGCACAGAAAAACCCTGAGGCTCGACACCAGCATAAACACTGCGATCGCCCCCGCTTGCTGAGATAACAGGTGCCTTTTTTTCACTTATATCCTCCTACATTTGCAAAATTGTATTTTCTACAAAACTTATTTATTAATAAGGACCTAATGTGTTTTTTTTAAATCTTTCATTCTTCAAAATACTTGCAATATACTACATGAAAAAATAGGTCAAGAACAGTCTAAAGTCATAATGTTGAATGGAAAGGAGAGAGAGAGAGAGAAGGAAAGACAAGGAGAGAGGAAATACATAAGAATGCATGCCCATTCTAGGGGTGGGAGGACTTTATTTTTTACAAGGTCTGTTCTAAAGTTTTGTGGGGTTTTTTTTACATGGAACAACTGAGGTGTAGGCCAGAGATGCGGGGATGAGAGGATGCCGTAGAGACATAGTGGGAAGTGAACAGGTGGACTGACTGAAATCCACTGCTGAGGGGAGCAGCGGGCGACACAGGAGAGGTCTGTTCTGCCCTATGTGGGTCAGCTCCCCGGCGGGGATCGAACTCAGGCCACAGAGGTGACAGCGCTGAGACTCAACCCCTAGGCCACCAAGGAGGCCCCTGTTCCAAAGATTCTGTAGTAAATATGTATTAATTATAGAATCAGAAAAACCTTTTTTCAAGATGCAGTCCAATTGTGATGTTGACATGAAATTACTTCACATATCCTAATGTGACCCTCTTAGGCTTGTTGAGCCCCTCACTAGCCCTACCAGTGAGAACATGATGAACTGAAGGGATAATGTTCTCTAAGGCCACCTCAGCCTCAGGAGGGGTGCCACAAACTGTTAATATTCCCCATTTTCAAGTTTTTGTTTTCACGAACAAGCTGGATTTCAGATAGATTATTTCACAACAATAAAAACTTGTTAAAAAAAAAAAGAGGTTAGGACACAGACAACATCCAGAGAGAGGAGATTTCTGTGAGGAAATATAGCTAGCAGGTGTGTTCTGTGTAATTACCTGACATTGACATAATTCTGACTTCCTCTGTTCCAGAACTTGCTCCCTCCTTTCAATTGGTTTCTTCTTTCATTCTATTCACTTCTTTGAATGCCTGTGTGTGTGTGTGTGTGTGTGTGTGTGTGATCTAAGTACACTACACACACACATATTTGTTTTTTGTTCGTTTTTAATATGAACAATGCTTTATATTGAAATTGGTTTAATTAGATCACAGTTTTTATGTTCGTTTTCTTTCCAGAATGATTGTTTTTAATATTTTATATAATTCTTACATCATTTTTCACCTTTGCACAATGTATGCATTTTCATTTTGGTTATATTCCCCATACAATTGCACCCCCCCTTATTTTGACCCTTGTCCTTCCTCTCCCCCCACCCCCGTAGTGACACACACACATATTTGATATGGAAGTTCGAATTCAAACAGGTGACTCCAAGACTATTAGCCGTCAGCCTTTCCTCTCCTCAGGGCTCCATTTCACAGCAGTTCGAGGAGAAAAAGGGACGCCTTAGTCCAGCCTGGAAACAGCAGCTATTAAATCAACTGTCTGCCAGTGTCCTAGTATCTCTTCCTCTGAGTGCGTCTACAGGAGAGCCATAAGACCTCTAGAAATGACTCAGTCCAGCCCGGGCTCCAACCATTTCAATGAAGTCAACTTTTGCAAAGTAACGACAGGTTGTAAACTCTGCTGCTGGGTGAGGCACTGGGTCCAGCCGGGTCTCTGGAATGGTCCAACCTGGGGCTGCCAACTTAGCCTTAGACCAGATGTCTTGAGACTCAGTTTCCTGTCCTGGGTCCCTACTTTCTAGGAGAGATCTTCTCTGCAGGAGGGTGAGGGAGGCTCCTGGAAGCTGAGATATGAGAAAGCACTTAAGTGGTAAATTTGTAAAGGAGCCTGGAAAGTTTTATTCTCGATAGGAGACTGTGTGAGTAAAAAGAAATAATGGGTGGCTAGTGCTGGGCAAGACACGAAGAAAGAAATCCCTAGTGAAGAAAACCCCTAAAGAAGTATCATACAAGGGTACTTTCTCTGGGTCCTGAAAATATCATCAGTTAACAAAATGCTTCTTGGGATCTCAAGGGTGCTTAGATGGGCCATTTGAATTTTGTCCCTTAAGTCATTAGTCTTAGGGAACTCAGGATCAAACACAGCACCGGCCCCTTTGCTGAGAACTGTACAAGGGAATTTACCAATGAAGGCAACACAAAATTTCTTTGACGTTCTGTTTCATGCCATGCTCTGTGACCTCATTGAGGTTATCCTGGTGAGATTCCTGTACATACATGGACTTTGCTTCTGAGGTTGCATTTACCTCTGTTGCCATCTGCTTTTTGATTGGTATGGCTGTGTCTGAAATGTTTTCCCACCTAATATACTCTGGGTGACCTTTCAGAACCTGAATATAAAGCACAGTTTTCCACGTGAGGGGAAATGTGCAATCTGCAAATCTTTTTGTTTCTGATGAGGAAATATAGTTTCAGGTAGATTAACATAAATCCCTAAGTATGATTTTTAATTCCCTGACATGGAGTGATTTCATTGAAGAGATTGATTTAATCTCTTGTGGTTGGTGGGCAAACTGTTTGCTGAATTTCAAAACATAGATTTGTCCTTTCCTGCTTGACCTCCAGGCTGATCCCCATGATGTCATTTATTGGGATTTGCATTTTTATTAAACTGGGATTGCTCAATCAGATGTGCTTTTGTGCCCCTCTGGCCTGCATCCTGCTATACATGGCCTGTGATCTGACGTCTTTAATCACTTTGATTTTAAACACACTGTTTCATAAAGGGGAGTCTATCTTACCCATAGTTGACATGGAATTCCTATAAATGTGAGTATAAAGATTATGGGACCTGGGGGCCTCCCTGGTGGCACAGTGATTAAGTCTCAGCACTACCAAGCTATCGCAAACCACTGTAGCCTGAGTTAGATCCCCGGACAGGGAGCTGACCCACAAGGTGCAGCAAACCCCTCCTGTCTGGCCCACTGCTCCCCTCAGCAGTAGATTTCACTTGATCTGCCTGTTCTGCTCCCCGCTCTGTCTCTGGTGAATCCTCTCACCCCCGCACCTCTAGCCTATACCCCAGTTCTTGTATGCATAAATATAATAAAATAAATCTTTAAAAAAAAGGATTATGGGACATGACTCATTTTAGTTTAAAATGGAGGGAAATGTATGCAAGGTGTCAAATTTAGGCATAAGCATCTATAACGTTTTAATGCATAGACTCGCAAAATGTAAAAATTGCATTATCAATAAATGCACAGTTTATCAATAAATATCAATAAATGAATGGTGATGTTATTCATCTGTTGATTAATTGTCATTGTGGTGTGTTGCAGGGCTATCAAGCTTATATTTTGGCTGCTCTCTGCTTGTAAATGCACTCAGAACAGCAGAGTTCAGTCTAGTTTTCGGATTATAGATCTTTTCCAAACATGATGCATTTTAAAAGTGGATTGGAACTAACTGAGCTACAAAACATGACGGTGCCTGAAGATGACAACATCAGCAATGACTCCAATGATTTCACAGAAGTCGAAAATGGTCAGATAAATAGGTGAGTATTTTTCCACTAACACTTTTTAGCCAATACAAAAATAATCTGAAAATATTATTCCAGTTTTCAGCTACTCTCTTGAATTATGCATTCCTAAAGTTATGCTCCACTTGAAGACGATCATTTGAATTGCTTATGTGACATCTGTTGGGAATCGTCTGCAAAAGCAGATGAAGACAACAGGAAAGGAATTTATTCAGTCTTCAGATCTTTCAATTCAGCCTAATAAAATGTATAAACACATTGAACCCCAACCAGCCCTAACTTTGCAAAAACTTTGTGCTTTTGAATTCGGTGATTGGAATTTCACCTCGTCCCATCTCTTGAGTAGACAGCCCTGCCATAACACCCTGACTGCATTTTAATCAAGAAGTGACTGATCCACTGTTCTGCTCCCCACTCTGTCTCTGATGAATCCTCTCAATGCTCCGCACCTCTGGCTTACACCCCAGTTCTTCCACGCAAAGATAAATAAAATTTAGGAAAATGTACTAATGTAGTGATCAGAATTTCATTTGCCAATGTTCCCTCCTTTTAACTACAAATACATCTCTATAAGCCATCGACTGTAACATGGATTTTAAATACTACTACAGTTTTGTTTTTTATTTATTTAAAAAATATTTATTTATTTTTATAAAAGAACCGGAGCACAGGCCAGATGTGCAGGAGGGTGAGAGGATTCACCAGAGACAGAGCGGGGAACAGAACAGGCAGACTGATGAAATACACTGCTGAGGGGAGCAGTGGGCAAGACAGGAGAGGTCTGCTTTGCCATGTGCAATTCTCACTGACCGGCCAGGATCGAACCCGTGCTGCAGAGGCTGTGGACAGCTTCACAGTGCATCGGACTCAGCCACCTGCGGCACTCAACCGCCTGCGCCACCAGGGAGGCCCACTACTACAGTTTTATTCTGTTGAGCCTAAAGAGCCTTATGGGAAACTAGAGTCGAAAAATAGATAGCGTGAGTGAGTGGAGGCCGAAAGATAGGTAGAGGGTGCCCTTGGCTTAGCTGTGACCTTGGCAAGCAGGTTTTTCCAATTCTTAAGTAATAAAGAGTATTACTTTTTTTCTCCCTCCCTTCTTTCCAATGATGTGGGATATTCTCCGACCTCCTGACTTTATAGCCAGTTTCTGTGGCTCCCTTAGCAGGAAGCTCTCCAGCTTCGGGGTAGGAGGTGTGGTTTGTTGCAGTCTGAGTCCTCCTAAAAGATAGGAAAAGAGAGTAGGGTCTACAAGACTGTTTATAAGAACAACAGAAGCTACACTTTTGAGGGTAAGGGCCAAGGGCAGTTGGGATGGAGGGTGAAAACTTCATGTCAGCTAAGCCAGCATCTTTGTAGAAATCATTTCTGATTTTCTGCTCTACATTTTGATGTGGTACGTACTTGAAAGTCCAGTGCAGGATTCAGCTGCCACACATACATACTCTTGGACATTTCAACCCTGCTTCTTCTTTTTCTTTTCCTTAAATGTCCTTTGAGGTTAAGTCTCCAAACCAGATAGTTGCTTATTATCATCCAGATATCATCTACTGTTAGGGGATATTTCTTACCATTGGACTCCAGCATACTTTTTACTTTTTCTGAGTAATTCCTACTTATTATCATTTCTTGAGTGCCCAGAGTTTTCTGTACTACCACTTATCTTTATAATATGCAAAACAATTATTCTTTTGCAAATAAGGATAATTAAAGAAATTCATTATACAAATAAGGAAACAGGCTCAGAATAAGATCACTGGCCCAGGGCACACACCTGTCTGTAGGAAATCCTCATCTTTTTTAGATTTATTTTATTTATGTGTGCAAGAACTCGGGTGTAGGCCAGAGGTGAAGGGAAGTGAGAGGATTTCACCAGAGACAGAATGGGGAGCAGAACAGGCGGATCTTCTGAAATCCATTGCTGAGGGGAGCACCAAGCAAGACAGGAGAGGTCTGATGCGCCATGTGGGTCACCACCCTGTCCAGGGATTGAGCTTGTGCTGCAGTCTCTGTCGATAGCTTCATAGTGCTGAGACTCAACCCCTTGTGCCACCAGGGAGGTCCTGGTAATCCTCATCTTTCTATTCTCTCCTGCTGTCTATGATTATAAAGCTTGGGCACTGGTAGAAAAGAGAATCTAAACTCTGCCAGCACCATTCTATTCTCCCTTTCTGGGGTGCTCTGCAGCCACTGCTGACTCCTGTTTACCCTAAATGGGCTTCTAACCATTTCACAAATAGGACATTTTGATTTTATAAGAAGCTTCGTTCTCAAAGCATTGCAAACTTGGAGGACCTTAAAGTGACAGTCATTTATACCATTTAGCTTTGAATCTGAACTTGCTCTTTCTACTTGCCAAAAATACTAAGTTTTGGGGGTCATGCCCCTCTGGTGGATGGAAGAAGCGCCTGTCCTTACCTCTGACCTGGGCACCTGCCAGGGCCAGGCATGTCTGCACACATGGTGAGGAAGGCCAGCCAGGGGTGCTGACCGCTAGTCTTGTGGAATTCGGTTCTTACTTACTGCAAATGTAGTGTAAAGTGTTCATTTCTTTATTTACTGTGTCTCTTTCACTGACCTAGTTCATGGAGCTTTTTTTTTTTTTTAATACAAACCTCACTTTTGATTGCTAATACATTTTAACTGAGGTACCTGGTATCGGTTTGGAGCATGATGGAAGTTTCAGGTGCATAGAGCTAGGATCCAGCATCTGTGCACATGGCCATCACCCCCCAAGTCTGTTTTGCATCTGTCATCAGGCAGCTGAATCCCTTTACCCATTTCACCACCTCCCGCACCCCCACCCCCTCGCTGCCAGGCCTCCTCCTATCTGGTAACCTCCAGTCTGCTCTCAAAGAGTTTATTTTTGTTTTATTTGTTCCTTTGCTTTATTTCTTTATATTCCACATATGACTGAGGACATTAGCATTTGTCTTTCTGTGTCTGACTTACTTCACTGAACATAATCTCAAGTTCCTCCATGTTGTTGAAAATGGTTTAAGATTTTCATTTTTTCTTTTAAATTGTAGCTGAGTAGTATTCCATTGCTCTCTGTATATCACATCCTCATTAGCCATTTGTCTGTCAATGGACACTTAAGTTCACCCAGACCCCACTTTTAAATATTGGGTTTAATAGACATAGTTACTTTGTCAAATTGTCATTATTACAGTAGGATTCTGTCAGGTAACCAGGCACCACTCAGAGAGGAGGAGGGAAGCTCTTTATTTACAAAGGCAAGCCCAGAGGAGATCTTTCTCCAAAGTGTGGGTTCCCAGCAATTAGTAACAAAGTATTTATTGCCTAAAGCAAGGGTTACAGTCAGCTGGGATGCATAAATCAATCATGTGGCCTCGAGAGCTTTTGTCAGTTGTTCCCTGAAACTTTCAGTCTACAGGCTATGTCCCAACTTCAGCTGATCAACAGGTCAGTCTGACATTTTCCACTTCACCATAGGAGTTTCTAAATGCTTACTCAGTTCCTGTACCTAATCTTTCAAATTGATAATCAGTTAGCTGAGATAATACTGGAAGCTGCCTTTGCTCAGAACACCCTCTCCTTTGGGGACCCCCCAGTGCTTCCCTGTAAATTCTTAGGGGGGAAATCTGATCAACTCTCACTGTGTCCAATGTTCATGGAGATGTTTAATACATAGAATGGAAGGATGAGCTCGCCTGGGGCAGAGGTACAGACAGATCAGATGGTGCAGGGCTGAACTCTGGGAATCCCATTGTTGTGAGGTCAGGGTGTGTAGGGTAAATGATTTTCAGGCTTTTCTGCCCTCTGACCATTAGGATTGCCCTGCCTGATGGGGCACCGGCAGTTGTTGCAAGCTGTCTTGTTTAATTCTGTGGGCCATGGGAGGAGTATTGAGATAGTCATGAGAGAAGCAGAGGCAGGAAAGAAGCAGGAGAGAAAAGGGGAGAAAGAAGCCCAGAGTGAAGACTTGCTGGGGGCCTGGAGGCCAGTCCTCCAGGCCCCCCAGCACCCTTGCCTGCCATGTACCTGGTTGCTGCTCTATATGTAAGAGCTCAATAAAAGCCTGAGAAAGCCACTGAAGGCTCAAGGACTCTCCTTTACCCGTCTGGTGGATTCTAGAAACCTGCTCTGTGCCAATCCTGCTCTTAGGAGCAGCCAAAGAAAAGACAGGCCAAGACAAGCCAGGGAAGAGAGTCAGCACATCTGATGGATGAAGCAGACACCCAGTGTGGGCAAACGCAAATAAATACCCTTATCACTGGAGGAATAAATGAGTTTTTAAAAAGGCAAGCAGCTTCCCTGCCCAGAACCTCTGACCTGTCTGAGGATGTAGATCTCAGGCCTTCTCAGTGTGATAGCAGGGTAGACACAAAGAAAAGAGAGCCACTGACAAGCCTGTAGTGGGCAGCACAGCCATGCCCCGACTCCGGCAGGAAGAAAGGCATTTTTTTCTATGGAGAAGCCAAACCAGAGAAACTGGGCTCAGGGGTGCTGGGCGCGGAGGCCACAGTGGGTGGAGTTGGAAACAACATGATTAGATTAATGAAGGGCTGGCTGAGTCCCCACCCAAGAACTCCAGAGTAAACTGCAGAGGGGACAAGTCTAAGCACCACATACATAGAGGAGAGCATGAAATATCTATGCAGTCAAGAATGACAGTAACCGGTGCAGAACCCCAGCATCAGGGGAAAGGGTGTTGTAGGGGCAGGAAGACCACAGTGCAGGTTTTCTGATCTAGCAAACTGGGTAAAGGAGGAGTCAGAGTCCTCAGTGGTTTTTTGCAGGTCTTTTATTGGGATTTACCTGGTACACAGCAGGCAGGGGTGCTGAGGGGGCCGGGAGGCTGGCAGGCCTCCCAGCCCCCAGCAAATCTTCACTCTATCTGGGCTCTCTGGTGTTTGCTCCGCTTCTCGTCTTCTTTCGGCTTCCGTTCGTTCTTGGCTTCTACTGGTGTCCCTGTGATGCCACCCTTAAAAGCACAATCTTAGTCCAGGTGAATCCTATTTACCTATGCCCACACCCTACTCCAGGTGCCC